GCAGCTTTAAATTGATATTTTGAAATAATTTACAAAAATTCCAAGCAGTCCACCACACACTCAAGATAGAGGGCTGAATGTACTCGTGGGATTTCAAGATGTTTTAATGTAACAAGCAAGACTCTGATCAAGTGTGTCGCAAATACACATGTTGTAAAAATGCCATCAAATTGCACAAATGTTTAACACCCTGGGACAGGCCAGTATGTGGTAGGCTGTACAAGGTAACTGAACAATTTATTCCAATTACAATTTTAGATGGAATTTTAGGCCATTAATTCTAGCAATGCTAGTTTTTTTTAAGTATGTATCTGTTTGATTTAAATATAATTTGTTTGCTATTACTGAATAAAATACCACCACTAGTTGAATTAAAAAAAAAAGAAGAGGAAAATACATTTTCATCTTTTGTTATCTAAACACTCCAGATTACTAGTTACAAAAATATTTTACAAACAGCTCCCAGTCAACTAGACAAATATACACCTGCAAATCAATATAGACTTCTAACCACCCGACCCACACAAATACTTTTGCATGTAAAACTCAGGAATATCAACTGTTTCTTTTTATAATTTGGTCCATCAAATAAATATAGAAGACCACCAAAAGAGACTTACTTTTTGTCTGGTGAAATGTTAATCCCATTGGCTGAATAAAACCCAGAGGCTACTTCTTTAACTTCTGTTGGACTGTAGTAGACAACATTTGACCAGGTCAAGCCCAGGAACAACTCCAAGTATATCAAGATGGGGTCAGAGAAATAATGGTCATTAGTAGCATAGAAATTATCAGGTCCCACAGCCACAATATCATTTACTCTGAAATGAGAAGTTAAGAGAACAAATACAGAGGGTTGAGAATTGGAACTCTGAAAAGTTTTACAGGATTGTACTGAAGTTTGGCAAGGATTAAGAGTTCTCTATAAAGAGGCTCAACAATGGTGAAGGTGCAGTAATTACTCATGATGCTCCACATACAAACTGTAGAGTTTTAGTTCCTGTCAGTTTTAATAGCATTGCACAGTTCCAAGCCATGTGACAAGCAAAGACTGGAGCAGGCTTAAAGGAGATTAACCATGGTCTTGCTGCCAACTTTCTATTCCCCAACTTTCACTCTTTGGTCTTTTAGAAGAATATACTAAATTCAAATAAAAACTTAAAAAATTGTAACTGTTGATGATCGTTCTTGTACTGCAAATAAGACTAGATAAAAGGAGAAGATGATAGGTTTCCCAAGCCACAAGCAATTAACTTCTCTGAAAACTTAGAATTCCAAAATAGACTCTTTGGGGGCATGTTCAGGTACTGAAAATTACTATTATGTATGAAATTGGATTATGACAGAACAGAAACAACTGCTATATACACACCTTTGAACAACCTTAGGGACACTGTCCTACCAGAGGCCAGCTCATGCCAAGGTTGCTAGGTCTCAAGAACACTGGCAATATATAGCTAGAAGCCAGTCCGGCTCACCTGTGTCTTAGCATGGTTAGTCTAGATGCTAAGTCGATAAGAACATGTTTAAACCCAATGAAATGTTTGTCAGATGCCACATGTCCTGTTCTCACTTCTAACCCCTTCAGCTCATGCTATAAAGTTATATTGAGTGTTTGAGTTACACTGTTACAGAGATTTACAATGCAAACAGGAGAGAATGCAAAAGCTAGCTTCCTATAGGTGCCCTTTGAAACCAAACGAGCCATTGCAAGACATCAAAGAATGACAACTTTGTTAATTGCACTCCTCACATGACCCCTCCCTTACATCAAAGAAGAGGACACCAAAGCACAAACACACCCAACGGCTTGGCTTAGACTCCGAGGAGCAGGGGATAAAAATCCTTAACAAGAAACAACAGGGCTCTTTTTGCTGCTTGGATACTAAAATAGAGCTGCCAACTTTCTAACCACACAAAATGGAACACCCTTGTCCCATCCCTACCCCATCTCATCTCCGAGGCCCCACCCCTTCTCTGAGATGCTTCCTCTCCCCCGGCTTGTTCCTTCCTCTTCTTCTGTCGCTTGCTCTCCCCCACTCTCACTCACTCATTGTTACTGGGCAGGGATTGAGAGGATGAGGGCTCTGGCTGCGAGTATGGGCTCTGGGCTCGCTCAGGGATGCAGAAGGGGACTCCATTTTAGAAATGGAGTGAAGGGGCTTGGCAGATGGGAGGGGGCTCTGGGCTGAGGCATGAGGTTGGGATGTGGGAGGGGGCTCAGGGAGGCAAGTGAGGCATTTCCAAGCTAGGGGCAGGGGGTTGGGGTGTGGCAGGATGTTCAGGGTGCAGGCTGTGGGAGGGAATGTAAGCAGCAGGATCCAGGAGGCACTTACCTTGGTCTCCCAGGAAGCAATGAGGTGTCCCTTGTATCCTAGATAGAAGCACAACCAGGCAGCTTTGTGCTGCGTGCACTGCCTCTGCTTGCAGGCTCCAGCCAATGGGAGCTGTGAGGGTGCGGTTCTTGGCCAATGGGAGCTGCAGAGCCATCACATAGGGCAACTACAGTGCGTGGCGCCACTGGGCCATCCCTCCACACAGGAGCCAGAGGAACACATTGCTGCTTCCAAGAGCCACACAGAGCCAGGCAGAAGGGGTGGCAGCAGTGCTCCCTCCTCCCATTCCCCCCCCGGAGCTGCAGGGAAGCGGAGTGCACTTGGTGCACATGCACTTGCTCAAATTCCCTGTGGCTCCTGCCAACACAGGGAGTGCGGAGGGAAGGGGGGTGACCGCTGCTGCCACTCTACACCAGGTCTCCCTGATCATCCTCGAGGCCACATCCCTCAGGAGATGGGCACCCACACCCCTGAGCTGACTTAAGTGCCTGCACCAGTAGGCACAGGGGTTCCGGACTGTAATGGTGTCTAAAATAGACATAAGCACCTAAATCTGGGCCTTCAGGCACCCAGGCCCCTTCATGGATCCAGGCCTTAACTTACAAAGGAGATAGGAGAGAAGTGTAGTAGCTTGGCAATATCCAGATGTGAGGTACTGACAAAAGCAATGGGAAAACTCATAAAAGGGAAAGTTCCTATAAGGTTTACATTTCCTTCCATATAAATTATCTTTAAACCAAAACAGGTGTTAGCCAAATGAAGCGGGGTGCTGTGGTTCAATTCAGTACCTTGGCAGAAGATCGTGTCGGATGGTTTTCAGGTGTACAAGAGAATTATCATCTTCTACAAATTTGAACACCTCCACTGTGGTCTTGAAGACTGGATGATTCACAACGAAGAGATACACCGAGTCATCTAAAGAAAGACCGGCGAAAAATTACAGAGTTTCACAAAAGTGACATGGCAGCTTAAATGTCTGTGTAAGGTGCATATCTAGCTTCCATTGCTGTAGCGTTTGTAGCCTTCGGATGTATTTTCACTCAGCAACCCTGGAAGATGGTAGACGAGGGTGTCAATAGACTGAAGGGTCTTCTACACAGATAGAAAGCACTGTTAGAAGATGCCAGTCCTCTTTCAGGCAGGCAGAGACTATGAAACCAGAATTTCATTTCAGCCACAAGCCTGCTACCCTTTTTGGTCACTGCTGTACAGTGAGCTACAAGAGAAATGCTCCTTCTGCATAGTCTCCATATGCTAGACAGCCAAGTTTTAGCTAAGTCCCATCTCACCAGAAGTGCAGTATCTCATCAGTGACGGAGGCATCATATTTCCATACACTGAGACACCTCCTACTCCCCTTACTAAACACCCAGGCCTTAAAGCGTTCAAAAAACTGCAACTGGGTACCGCAGTGATATCACAGGCCGTGCCTCCAACTCTTTTGCTGGTTTTCTAGGTGTACAAGCGCAGTGATAACTCCTAAGTAGGGATGTTAAATATTGGTTAATTGAATAGTTGAGGCAGCAGCAAGGGTTGCCAGGCAGGAGCTGGTCCATGAGGGGGAGCCAGTTTAAAAACTAGAGCCCCTCAGACTGACTGCCTGTCCCCCATGCTGCTGCCTGTGATACAGGCTGCTTTCCTGGCTCCTAATACACTTTAAATGCAGAGCCACAGCAGGGGGAGGAGGCAGCAGAGTCCGTGTAGACAATAGCATTAACCTGTATGGTTTTGTTTATCGATCAATCAGCTACACCAGGGGTGGCCAACTCGTGGCTCTCGAGCCTCATGCGGCTCTTTGCTCAAAGAAATGAGGCTTTTGCTAGTTCTGAGCCACGCGCCCGGACCCCTTACAACTGCTCTGCGCATGCACCCCAGCACCTGGAGAGAGAAGCGTGTGGTGGCTGCGGCTCAGGTGAGACCCGGGCATTAGGTTAGAGTGGGGGAGAGAACAGGTTGGGGGTGCCTGTCTCTGTGGGAGAGGAGAGAAGGGGGGTGGGGGGAGAGCGGGAGGCGCTGAAGCACCTTAAACCCAAAATCTTCATGGACGCAAAATAAGGCAGCCAACACAGATGTCCTATTTAAATTCCAGGACAAGAATCAGCATGTACCTGGTTTACACTGTTTCTTAAAAGAAAATCCAAAGGCTATTATTGCCAGGCTGAAGCAATTATTATGAGATAAGAGTCTCTCCCTTGTTTTTGAACCTTTCACATTTGCAATCTGGGATAGACCTGAATTTTTAGGACTTAAAAAAAAAAAAAAAAAAAAAGAGGAACCATCCTAGAGATCAACAAGCTGAAGTGAAATAGGCACTTCAAACTGTGCTAATTTACTTCTCAGTTCAGTTTAATTTTAAAAAACTCACAGGACCTAATAGGGCAGTAGTGTGACATTTAAAATGCAGGATGAGGATGCTTTTTTTTAGTGTGAGAATATTACTGTATTTTTAAAGGTGGTTTTTTTTTTTTTTTAAATTTGATATTTGTTCCTAGTACAGTTCTCTGAAGAACTATGGACTGGCCATGAATTTAAAAGACTAGAGACTTTTTTTAATTGTTTTTTGTCCAAAATGTCCTGTAATGTTTTTAACCACCACATTTTGTGTACTATAGATCGATCAATAGATAGACAGATATTTATTTTTATCTATCTAATACATGGCTCTTCGCACTCTATCCACAACTATTTTGGCTCTTTGTCTCTAACTGGCTGGCCACCCCTGAACTATTCTACTATATCCCTACTTCTGGGTCTTTACTTCAGGGGTACCCTGCTGCTCAAAGACTTGGTCCCTGGAGGCTTCAGCACCTGTTTCCCACCAGAGCTCCTCCAGCAGGTCCAAATGATCTGGAACCTTTGTTGGAGGCTTCTTCACTAGGGAGCTCTATAACCAGCATGTTTGTGATTAACACAAAACAACCTTTCCCATTTCTTAGTCTGCAGGAACTAAGTGGGCACAAACACTGCACTGAAGTGGTAAATAAAAGACTAAACACTGCTCTTGCCCTAACCTAGCAGCTTTTCCTTTCTTGATTAGGAGGGTCTTTTCCCAGACCTGGAACCAGACAGCATGTCTGCAACAGTGCCAGACTGGAAGACTTCTCCCACTGGGAGAACAAGTTTCTTATACAAGTCCCTCAGTACTTATGTACTTTAGTTTCAGTGATGGTGTTTTCACATGTGCTGCTCTTCCCAGTGTAGAGTTTGTGGCCAGATAGAGTTACCCATATTCCAGGACACTAGGTATCATTAAAAATTAATGGTCTGGTGCTGTGCACCACTGGCACTCCAAGGTAGCTCTATCCATGAGTTTATAGTTCATCCATGCCAGTCCAGACAGCTCTCTGCAACCCACACCCACTCTATACAATGCTTATTTCTTCGCTTCTGGTCTAGGTCTGGCAAGAGTTAACCCCTTGAGACCAAATAGGAATAGAAAGAAATACAAAATGCGAGCAGGTAAACTGGAGTCAAACATAATGTGCATAAAAATACAGACATTTCCCACAATTATATTTAATATAAGGGACGTATTTCAGTCCTGAAGACGACTCAGTATGCCTCTGTGTGTGTGTGTTTATATAAACTACCTTAAACACGCAACTCCAATGTTTTAGTATACAAATATCTTGTTAGAGGACCACACGTCTCCCATCTATGTATCAGGTTATAGATGCAACATGGAAGGCAACTGAAATAGCAAAGCATTTTAAATATTAAGCAGCTCCAGGCCAGTGTTTCTGAAAGTGGGCCATGAAATCACTTTGAGAAACCCATTACCTGGCTGCTCTGGTGTGTTTATTTACCAGCACCGGGGCCACAGAGCCTTGCGGCTCCTATTGGCTCCGGTTCTCCATTTACAGCCAAGGAGAGCCGCGGGAAGCAGCAGCCTAGTCCACGCCACTTCCTGCAGCTCCCCTTGGCTACAAACGGCGAACTGGAGCCAATGGGAGCCACGAAGCTCCGTGGCTGCAGCGCTGGTAAATAAACACACACTGGAGTGGCCAATTAACAGGTTTCTCAAAGTGGTCTTGCAGAAACACTGCTCTAGGCTGAGATTTCTTACCCCCCCCCTTTTTTTTTTTTAAACAGTCTTCTTACCTTTGTCTATATATGTGCTGATCCCATGAGGGTTAAATGATGCTATATCAAACCCACGGCTGATTCTCAGTTCCACTGCTCTTGGGTTTTCATCATTCAAATCCATCAGAAGTATTTCACCTGGTTTGTCTGGTGCAAAGCTTTTTAAGCCTGGATATTTTAAACCCTTTAAGATCAAGTAAGCACAACAAAAGTCATTCCTGGCTGAAAGTTAAGAGGATCCTAACAAAGCTACCAGGACTAGTGCTTTGGTTTGTGGCTACAGTATAGGTGTGATTGCTACAGAGCAACAACTATCTCCTGTTTTTTGGTTTCATAGTCTCCCTAAGCAATTGATCCCTTCTTTACTCACTACACTGCCTGCACCCTCCTCATATTTCACACTCTCCTTCCCCCCGACCCCAACAAACTGACATCATCCACAATGCTGCTTCTCTCTTCAGTAGCCACCAGCCACTACTGCTGTGCCAAGACCCTGTGTGACCTCCCCTGTTTCTTGTGATGCTAGTTCCTCCAAGGCATCTACCTTCTCCGTACTGGTTATTCAAGGCAATGCTGCATAACCACACAAAGTTTGTTCCCTCACCCCCCCACAGTGCAGATCTCCACTTGCAATATGCACTCAGCCACTGTGATGATACCTTTCAACACAAGCATCTCTCACCACAGCTTTCTTCCCTCCCTCCCATTCTCCTCCACCCACCTCAAGTGACTTCTAAGAGCCTGTTATCCATCCCTTTTGGCTCTTGACTCCCATACCCACATTTCCCCACTTGAAGAAAAGTTAAAGTCATTGCTTTCAAATAGCTCACGACTGCAGGTTTGGAATGCCACTACTGTAAAAGGTAACAGGTAATCTCTGAGTTTATCAAGATTATATTTTGAAAATGTTTTGAACAATCAAAGCTGCAGTGCCACAGATAAGTGCAACTGAACAGGTAAGGAAACTAAATGATAATACATTTCTTTAAGGCAAAATCAGTTGGCAACACAGATGCTGTCACGCATATTGAAATATTTGTTATTTTTCTAACAGTGGCAGATGCTGGAATCACATAAATGGGACTCTCAGCATTGACGCACCTACACAATTCCTAACCCTCGTGGCTATGGAGAAAAAGCCTGAAAATGTGAACCCTAAGGGCTCAATAACCAGGAGGTGAGCAAAAAGAATCCAAAAGTTAAGAAAAATCACAATTTGTAAGTGAATCTCCTGATTTAGGGAGGTCAACTCTAATCGTGAACACTTTGGGTTGGCAATACTGCAGCAGAATGGAAAGCCACACATGCCAATGATAGAAGTTATACAATTTCTGCTAGGTGCAGAAATAAACTTGCTCAAGTAGGAGGAAATGAATTTTGAGCTAACAAATCTGCATTATTCCCAGAGAGCAGTGAACACATTGTTCAGCCTGCAATGTGCAGGTATCATTCCTGTGCATAATAAATCAGTACTCAAGCACCTGCATAGGGTGGAAAGATGGGAAGGTCAAATACTTACACAACTAATGAAAGCCAGACCATTAGGAAGGATGTCAATATCTTCTGCACCACTTTCTACAAAGACAGACAGAGAAGGGGTTTATTCAGAAAGCGTTTACTGATCAAATCTTTGTTCACTTGTAACTGCTTTTCAAGAGATAGCAAATGGGCACTGTTTTCAGTGATTGTGCTTCTGGTAGCATTGCCTTCGAAGCTATCAAAAAGAACAGTACCCAAACTGCAAGGTAGTGCTCAAACTTTACTTCCACTCCCCTTGCTGGGATCTAGGCTTGCATGTACTACTTTCTCCCACCACTAAATTTTGTCCAAAAGGTTGTCCATTTTCCCTTTTGTCCTAATTACCTAGTCCCCTCTGGCCCTGAAACCTTGTCTATGCTAGAAAACGTACCCATTTCTGACATTAAGATTAGCAGTCAAACCAGCAACAAACAGCATGTAATGCAAGCACAGACCGTTGATTTTAAGGCCAGCACCATCACAATCATCTGTTAAGACAAGCATTGGAACTTGACACCAACACTCCAAGCAATGAGCCATCTACCACATCTGTAAACTGCTCAAGCCGCTAACTGCCCTCACTGAAAACCGTGTTTCCTTTTCAATTCGTACTTCCTCAACCCTTTCTGTCTCTTTGTAAAGGCAGTTTTTCTGAACAGTCTCACAATTCCTCTCAGTTCCCTCTCCCATTTTTCAGGAGATCAGCACAAAACAGAATACTAAACAATTGTAATATCCTGCAGGAGGTGTTACCTTTAAGAGGAAAACCTTCTGCAGACTCAATCGAGCAGATATTAGCCAAGATACTCAAGAGCTTTTCTATTCTTGCTCCAGCACAATCAACCTGTGTGATCACTTACTCTGTGGCTCAGTTCTCCCATCTGTAAAAATTGAGATAATGGCATTTTCTTTCCTCACAGGGGTGCTGTGAGGTGCTCCAGTACTACTGTGATGGGGGCCATATACATTACCACTCTAATGGACAGGAGGAGTGCTGGCCAGCACCCAGTGAGTAATAGGTTAAACTCAGGTAGCTAGCAAAGGTGCTGGCAGGCAAGGGACCAGGAAAACCAAATGAGATAAGAGCGCTGAAATTTGAACTGGATATAGATACCTTGCCTGCTTTCTTTGTGTGGGAAAGTTAAACCAGGAATTGAGACACACAGAATGATTTAAACCCAAGCAGGCCTACAATGCCTCCAAGGAATTCGGGGCATGGGAGTAGACTGAATAAAGAGAAGATCATGAGTTAATAAAAGGAAAAAAGTCAATCTAGTCGCAATCAGGGTATTTTTCTTTATTTTGTGGTTTGGTTTGAACTGCTCTGTCTGAATCTATGCTTCCCTTCCCCATTTACCATCTAAGAATTGTTCTCAGAGAGTCTCTGTTTTCCTTAGTTGCTCTGTAATAGCTAGCAACCAAGTATATCTTTTGTTTCATAATAAAAATCACTTTAAGATGATGATTTGATTCTTGTGTCCTGAAAAGTACAGGAGTCTGTCTGTGTGTGTCTGCATGCCTCAGACTAAGAGATCAGATACCAGAGACTACAGCCTCTCCCCGAGTTATGAACGAGTTATGGATCAAACACTTAACTCGATCCATTCGTAACTCGGACCCCATTGAGTTACACGCGACTGCGCTGTTTGTAAGCGCAGGTCATGTTCATAACTCGGGGACCGCCTGGGGGAGAATTCAAGTATTCAACACTGGTTTTAGGGGCCAAAAAAAATTCACTTAATAGTGGCAGATCCCCCTCCGCCTCAAAGACAGTGAATTTGTGACTTTGGGGGAGTTTTTGTAACTGCGGCCTGTGGAGGCAAGGCACATTTAAAGTCTTTGCAGGCCCCCACCTTCTGCACTCAAATTGCCAGAGTGGGGAACAACCCTGACAACCAGACAGACTGCACCAGCAGAATATGCTGGTTTGAGCACAAGTAAATGAGGAGTTGTAATCATTTTGTCTCCACCAAAAATCAAAGAAGTTTGCCCAGTCTTGGGAAGGGAAAATTAATTACAAGTTTATGAAACAGATAAACTAGAGAAAACACTACACACTTTAAAAAAAAAAAAAAAGTATTCATCACTACCTTAAAGAGATTGCTCAAATACTGACCATTCATTTCTCAACTAGTTTCTAACTCCTAGTTAGATAAGAAAGGCATGAAATCTACCATTCAAATATTTGTTGGACTAGATTTTGCTAAATAACCTTCCTCATCCACTATGTGTACACAAGAGGGAGTAGCTCATTTACAGAACAAACAATTGAGCTGTCGATCAGTTATCCAATTCCTACAAGCCTATGTCTGCTTTGGACTTTACCAGAAAGTTTTTCAAGGTTGCTATTTCTCTGAACAGATATAGGTGGCATGATAGTTAAGATCCCCATCTACCACTGCTAAAGGCTTCACTTGTAATAACCATGGTGTGTCATCTTTAAAATTGCTAGCATACCTCTGGCCTAAGGAAGACAGATCTCAAGAAAAAGGTGAGGGGAAAACCTGGGGGAGCCTTAAAAACAATGCTTCATTTACTAAATGTTAGCAAGTGAACTGAGGTGTGTTTATTTTTTAATATAGTAATTTCTAAGATGTCTCAGAACACTGAGTGATCCCTTTTGCATGAAAGAAAAAATGGGAGTTCAATAAGCTTTTGCACTGGGCTATAGCCTCCACTGAGTCAGCCTGAATAAAAACATTTTAGGCCAAAAGATTTATGAAACAAGGTTCTAAGCTTCCTTACTCCAAATCACCAATTAAATATTTAGACTTTAGTGCCTTGTGTACTCTTAAGGGGAGGGGGGGGCAGGGAAGAGTGATATTGAAATGGAAGCTTTATACATTCAGTTGTTCTTGCTAAAGGTGTTTTCTCTAACGTTTGAACCACAGCTCCCTAAAGAATACTCTTCTTTGGGGTTTTCAAAGAGGAGGCATAATCAGTGTAGAGAAGAGCAGAAGCATTACTGTGTGTGTTGCTTGCAACATTCCTGTTAATACATTCCAGAATGATGTGGTGTGGTTTGTGGGAGTTTTTGGCAACAGTGTCACGCAGTTTACTCATTTAGCTCAGTGTTTCTCAACCTTTTTTTTTTTTTTTTAAATAAAGTACCCTTTAAAAATAATAAGTACCCCCAGTATCTACAGTTTTCAGACAATTTTTTTCTACCATTGCAAAACATTTGTTTAAACAACTTAATCGTAGCCGGGCGGGCGATGAAGTTTTTGGGTATAAAAAGTACAAAAATAATAAAGCGCTATAAAACTTAACACAAAAATTCAGTTTTCCTCCAAGTTTCTGTTGTGTTGACGTACCCCCAGACTTCTCTCGAGTACCCCTAAGGGCACTCGTACCACTGGTTGAGAAACACTGATTTAGCTTGTGGTGCACTATGATTCCTAGATCCCTTTCTCCAGTACTCCTTCCTAGACAGGAACTTCCCATTTAGTATGAATGAAATTGATTGTTCCTTCCTAAGTGGAGCACTTTGCATTTTTCCTTATGAATTTCTTCCAATTTACCACTGACCAATTTCTCCAGATCATTTTGAATTATAATTCTATCCTCCAAAGCACCAAGAGTACCATTTGGTGGGGACAGGAGTAAGGTGGGCAGCAGCTGTGTGCTCCAGGATGCAGCTTGCTTTTCATCCCGTTCCCCGGGCTATTAGTAAGGGGAAAATGCTTGCAACCCAGCTGGCTGGTGAAGGGAGCTCACCAACCAGGTGTGAGAGGCATGAACGGATTGTAAGCACTTTCCCCTCACTCTGGCAGTCCAGGGAACGGGATGAAAAGCAAGCTGCATCCCGGAGTGCACAGCTGCTGCTGCCCATCCCCCAGAAATGGTGTCCTTGCAAGGCACTTGCAATCCCTCCCAGTTTGGTATCATCTGAAACTTAATAAGCATGCCCGCTACTCCATTATCTAAACCGTTGATAAAGATATTGAACATAACCGGTGCCAAAACTAATCCCTGGGAAACCCCACTTAATGCCCTTCCAGCATAACTGAACTATTGCTAACTACCCTCTGAGAAGTTATCCAGCCAGTTATACACCCACCTTATAGTAGTCCTGACTAGCTAGTATTTCCCTAGTTTATTTATATTACATTTTAGACATGTTTTCACTTTTATTTGCTTATAAAGCTTTCTAACTTTGCTCTTTTACTTGGTACTTAAATCCTATTGCAAATACATTTGTTTACTTTCACAATGTAGCAACTCTGTGCACAGTTTAGTCTGCCATGTGGTTTCTTTCTTTACAGATGCAACAAAAGATCACTTCTCAGAGTGATCCAGAAAAGGGCTGGACACCTAAGGACACACAATGTTGGGGAAATTCAGGAGTGGGGAGTGTATTAGAGTCATCTGGCTAGTTGTAACCAAGTCTGATGGAAGCTAAAGTAGGAGTATAGATAGGCTCCTGGGGCCAGAGCTGCTTAACCAGGGCTATATAAGCGCACAGATACTCAGAGCATGCCCCACATGCTTGAAAGCAGCCCAGATGGACAGCTATACTAACAGAGCATTGTGAGGTACCACGGGTTACGGGCCAAATGGTGTCATTAGGACTGCACTCTGAATCCCAATTAGACTATCACGATCACTTCCTACAGTGAGGAATACCAGAGAAATATTTACTATAAAGGTCATTTTATCCTTCTTCTGTCAGGATATAAAATTATGATGCAAGTACAAAAATACTACACTAGTAAAACCTCAAATTTGCCTGCCAATTTCAATTCAGGTGTGTAACTATGCCAATTTGAAAGACATTTTCTATTTTTAGAGAATAACCTTCTTTCACATCTTCCGCCCACCAAATTTAGTTTGACTTTTTTTTTTTTAAAGTTGGTATTTGAAAGCAAAGTGAACAAGAAGCTAAAAACACGAAGTGGGAAATTTTATGTGGAAAACACAAACAAAAGTGAACTAGATAGCAAACCTATGCCTGCTGTAACTTGAAAACTACTCCTGGGGGATGAAATTTAACATGACAATAGATGGGAACAGGGCTCCATTCTCCATGTGGAGTGGGGGGAGGGAGGAGAGAATAGTTTAAGATTAATTTATTCAGAGCCAAGACAGTCAATTAATCACATGCCTACTCAAGAGGCCAGGCTGATGAGTCTAGCTTTGCAGTTTAATACAGATATACGCATGCAAATAACATCCTTGTGTAATTACAAAGAGCCAGATCCTGCAGACACATGAGCAACCTTACACAGCTGAGTCCAACAGAAATACATGAGTCAATAATATTATTCAGATGGCAAAAAGTGTTTCAATTTCCTGGTTTCCTTAATGAACACAGTGGAAAAAACTGAGTTAACAGAGTTGAATAGCTTGGTGGTACTTCACTTCTTTGCAGAAAGCTGAGTTGAGCTCAACTCAAACTTCTGAGTTGAAATGTAGAGTTAAGGTTGCTCGTGCAACCTTAACTCTGCCCTTTTCAGAAATGCCCCAATATGCCCTATTAAAACAAACATTTTCCAATCCAAGCCTCACTATTGCTGAAATGTACAAGCTCTTCACTTTTTTTTTTCAGCCCTTTCACACTCACCCACAGAATTCTATCCAACACTATTAAAGGGGAAAGAGAAAAGAAAATGTTCAAGGTATGTGTAGTGAATTTGAGTGATGTTTTTCATTTCAGAACATTATGCTGACTTTTTAATTCATAGCAACTTCCTGATGTTACTAGTTTGTGCTGTATTTATAGTGTCTTGTGCAATGGAATCCTCGTACAGGACCGTGGTTCCTAGGTGCTACAAAATTACTAACAATAACAGTCACCTACTGATATTTTGAAGCCACTGAATTGGTTTCGTTGCATTGGCTTTGGTTGGAGGATCAGCAGATGACAGGAATGCACTTGAGCAGTGTTCAGCTACGGTCGGGAATGTTATGACAAAGACTACGGAAAATAGTTGTAACACTATTTCTCAATCACAGTCTCCAGACAAAAGAGAGCAGTCAGCCTTCAGCTAGTCTTCAGATAAATATCAGGCCCAAACGTGTTTGTGAAGGGTAGTTAATTATCTTGTTCAGAAGTTAATCAAATTGTTCTTGCCATTTTGAGTTCTATTTTCCTGAACAAAATGAGCATTTTGCAAAAGGTTTTGTAAAGACCATTTGCTTTTCCCAAATGGGAGCAAACACATCAATTTAAAAGGGATCACTCAAGATAATTCATGTAAAAAGTATTCATCAAGGGAAGTGAATATTCTGCCTCTTCCTCTAACAAATATTTGTTCGACTCAAAAAGAACAAAATGTTTTTCCAATTTAAGTTCTATTGACCTACCCTCTTCACTAACTCTCACAAAAAATTCTACTTGTGTTTATCCAATTACCTGAGTTCAGAAAGACATGTGATTCCTGAAACATTCAGGAAGCGAGATTTGGAAAGTCAACAGTGTGACTTAGCTGGGTCAGAGGAAAAGCTGTAAGTTCCAGTGGGTCCAAAGAATTCCACAAAAAAATAGACAAGGGAGTTCAGACACACACAGATATTTATAAAATACAACTCTGGTAGATTTTGTTTCAGCAGGCAAAAGAAAAAACCTGTTAGTGAGACATAGGCCTAATTTCCCCCTCTCCTATCCCCGTAACAACATTCTTAAATTAGTAAATCCACTCATAAGGCTCTGAAACAGGAAGAAAACAAGTTAATAGCAACTTAAATGTTTAAAACAGCTAACCCTATTCTGACATGGCTGATTTCAATACACAAACATTTGTACAAAATAAAAAGGGGGCCACATCCTTAAGATGCTGAGCTCACTCCCTCAAATGAGAGATATTTTAACCAAAGAAATGTAGTTAAGTGGTTAATTGCCATAAGAATTTATAATTGCTGATTTAGCTGAAGAATGAATCCCAATTTTCCTTGTATGCAACAGAAATATTAAAAGACAAAATGACCACTTGATATATATTAAGATTTATAGACTTGCTAAGTTATACAAACATTGTACTTGATTCTATATTTAAAAAAAGAGAGATTAATATACATTTTAGTTTTCTTCATAAACAGGTCACCTATTAAAATTAATTTGTATGGGACAATGTTTAGGTCTGTATAAACAAACATGCAAAATAGCTTCAGTGTTTAGTATTTTCAGGTACGCTCTGTGTAAAAAGTAATGACAATCCCCTTTTCCTGACTAGGCCAGTCACAAGCATAGACACTCTGTCTTCTAAATATTTTAAGTCACATGCTTATTATGCAGTATATTGAACTTTGGGTTACTAAAACATGAGCATGGGGAGTGTGCTGTTGTATGCATCTCCTATACTGCACTCTTCTATTTTTCCATATTCACTTTGACTGGACTCTGATCTTAAAGTCACCAACTCCACCCAGCATTCTTGCCAGCTTGCTCGTTATCAACACTCCAGTTAACTTAGTGCCTCTTGCTATCTTTGAAAGCCTTCATACATTTCTTACAGGAGCTTCTGCAAGTATTACCAGCAGATAGGCATCTGACCGCAAGTCCCACAAGCATGGCTATTTGCATTTCAGATATGCAACAACTTTAATTGGTCTCAATCTTCTTGCTACTGTGTCAAAGGTTGTCAATTTGGTTTGTATTCTCACAATGTACTAGTATGGTCTCTCAGCCCAGTACTAAGTTTCCTTTGATTCTGAATATCTAGCTGTTCACAACAGAATTTCCTGTATGCGGTCTCTCTTCCCCCACCACTGGAATTCAGAGGATTTACAACAACAACAACAACAAAAGAGTACTTATAGGCCATCAATAAAGTAAAACTCCAGTTGTCCAGCATCCAGTGATCTGGCACTCCTGATAGTCCGGCACTACCTGGAACCCGGAAGTGCTCCAGGCAGCTGGACAATTGGAGCTGCTCTGCCCCGGGCTTCCCCGAGTCAGCCACTGGTCAGTTTCAGCAGCGGCTGACTTGGGGACGTCCGGGGCAGAGCAGCTGGGGTGCTGCCGGGTTGGTCCTGTAGCGCCGCCCCCCAACCGCACCCCATACCCCTCATAGCCCTCCCTTCCGATAGTCCCGCATATCTGATAATCTGGCACCCCCGGGTCCTAAAGATGCCAGATTATCGGAAGTTTACTGTATTTTGTTTCCAAGGTTAGCATTTTAAAACTTGGCTTTAGTAGCTGACTTGAAAGCAAGGCTGACAATTCAAAGTCCTAGCACACACTAGGGATGTTAGCATATAGTTGAATAAACGATTAACCAATAAGCCCAGGCTTATCCTCTCAACTATACCCACTCTCTCCCCTCCCCTTCCTGCACAGACGCAGCAGAAAGGGGCACAGGCAGGATGCTGCAGCAGCTTCTGTCAGCACTGAGCTCTGCCCCCCACAGGGATTGAGGCTGTGGCCACCCTGCACTGTTGCTTCTGTATCATAGGCAGCAGAGTGGAGTGGCAGGGGGCTCCCTGGGAGAGGGGCCAGGGATATGGAATAATCATGTAACTGCTAAGATTTTGTGTGATTACATGATGAGTGAATTAATCGTTATCTTACATCCCTAGCACATACTTACCGATTCCCTTAATAAGGTGGCAGTTGGGAAGTTCCACTGGTTCCAGCTCTCTGGAGGCATTCAGTTTACGTCTGCAAGAGGAAAGAACAGTTTAGTATTAACAGATCAAAGAGAGTTTTACAAACTCAAACAGTGTTGACTTATATTCTGGAGTACATATAAACATATATCATGTTAGAGATAATATGGGCCCCATATACAAGTACAAATATTGTAATAGCGTAAGCGAAAAAGACTATGTTATAGATAGATTTTAAACTGAATACAGGCAGTCCCCGACTTACGCGGATCTGACTTACGTCGGATCCGCAGTTACGAACGGGACTGCCCCAGAGTACACAGACTGCGGGACCTCGCGGTCCTGCCGCCCGTGTACTCTAGGGCTTTCTCTGCGTCTCCCTGGTCTGCAGACCAGGGAGGGGCTCGGGCAGCGGGGCAGCCCA